CTAACTTTTAAAATGCATTTCTAAAAATGAAAAATCTTTTGAAGCTTTTATTTTACTTTTAATTTCAAGCCAATTGAATAATATTTTTAACTAGCAGAATACGTTTCTGTATTTCAAACTGCATTTAAATTGATTGAATGATGTTTTAAATTGATAAAAATGGCTGAAATCGGCCATATTGACAAATCTGTCAACACAGCATATTTCAAGATTAGCTTATTTAAAGTTCAATTAATTTGATATGAAAAGAAATATTACTTTTAGTCTAAAATATCACAGAAAATCTTTTTATAACACGGGTTTGGGTATTTGAAAGAGGATTTTTAAACTCTCTCGATAAACATACGTCTGACAATCTTTTGTATTGGTGACATCAGTGTAACAATTACTTGAAAAATTTTATCCATCTGACTTTTTTGTGTTACAGTAGCAATCTAAATCGCAGATTTGTATTACTTTATTATACTAATATTATTACTTTTATTATTATTATTATTAATATTTATTATTATTATTATTATTATTTTTATTTTCTTTGATTTCTGGCGTTTACACATTTCTTTCCGGGTCCCGCCCAGGGACCTAAGGTTAGAAATGGCGTCATGACACTTTCCACTGACACAAAAAAAAAAAATTAAATTACATAGATAAAGCCCTTCGTAAGGTGTGGGCTGTACTTGTCAGAACAATTTTTTGTATCTCCTTGAGGCATGGACTTCCAGGAATCCCTTCAATTAGTCTATCTGCAATCTTTTTCCAACCAGTCCTAGGGCTCCAACTACAACAGGGATTGTTGATGTTCCCATATGCCACATTTTCGAGATTTCTATTTCAAGGTCCTTGTATTTTGACAACTTTTTGAATATCTTCAAAGATACATTGCAGTCAGTAGGGACTGCCATATCAATAAGGAGGCACCGTTTTTTGTTTGTGGTCTTTAATAACAATATCTGGGCGGTTGGCCTTGATTGTTCTGTCAGTGTGTATTGTGTAGTCCCATAGAATTGTAACAGGTCCTATCTCCGTAACCGGGTCTGGGTGGTGTTCATACCAGTTTCTTTCAGTTTCCTTCCCGTAGAAGTTGCAGATTTTCCAGTGCAGATATTGGCCCACTCTGTCATGTCGGGTTTTATATTCAGTGGGTGCCAACACCGTGCAACCTGATACAAGATGATCAATCGTTTCTGGATATTTATCACAGAATCTGCATTTTGGGCTGACACAATATTTTAGTATATGTGCTGATAATTCCTAGTTAGCAAGCATTGGTCCTGCGCAGCAAGGATAAAACCTTCAGTTTCCGCTTTCAACCCTGCACTACGTAGCCACTGATGGGTACGGGTTTTGTCTACGTCAGCTTGTTTGGTACGGGCAGAGTATTGGCCATGAAGCGGTTTATCTTGCCATCGCTTCTGTAACTGGTCGGTTGCATTCGTCTTTGCTGTCTTTTTTAGGTATTTTGCAGTTTCAGCCGGTGTATTGTGCTGTAGTTGCATCTCTACGCCCATTTGAAACTCCATTTTGAATTTGTTGGCTTCTTTCATTACGGAGTAAAGACGCTTACTACTTTCATGTTCCTTGACGCATACCATCATCCAGTCTTCTGTAGTTTCCAAATATCTTTGGAGGCCAATTGTTGTAGTTTTGTAGGACAGTTCTAGTTGAACTAATCCTCTGCCTCCTTCGGATCTGGGCACATACAGACGATCAACATCAGCTTTGGGATGATGCATGCGATAGCAAGTGAGAAGCTTTCTCGTTTTGGTCCATTCGCTTAATTTCAGCTATGGTCCAGTTAAGGACATTAAAGCTGTATTGCACCACAAGGGACAGCCAATGTGTTTTATGGCTGATATCCTGTTTTTTGAGTTTAGCTCAGTATTTAGTACCAGACGTACACGCCTGTAGTATTCTTTTTCTTATTTTTTTTCTTCATTTAAATACGATGCCATCTCCTTCGCTAATTTTAGGTACTTATAAGCTTCATCATGCTCCAGTTCCCCTTCTTTGTGACAAAATCTAAATCTATTAAGGGTGTTTCTGTAATTCTACCTTTCTTGAAAGTTACTTTTGCACATTTATCTAATCCGAAGTCCATACCTATGTCGTCACTGAAGTATTTTACAATATTGAGGAGGCCTTTCAACACATTGTCGTCTTTGGCAAAGAGTTTGAGATCATCCATGTAGAGTAGGTCTTTGGCAAAGAGTTTGAGATTATTATTATTATTTGTGTATGTTATGTTTCCTGCTTTGTATCGTGTTGATCCGGGTCCAAACTATGGTCCTTAGGCCCTATAGGAGAATTGCCATTTAATAGATAGCACTTTTCTTAGTAAATGGGATGTTCCTATTAAGGCGATCTTCTGGGCAACTTGTATTACTCTTAGTAAAATTGTCCATTTCTTTTCTCACGAGGCCCAGAGCTCTGATTATTATTGGTCCAGTCTCAGTCTTCATTCCCCACATCCTATTAATCTCGATCTCCAGGCCTTGTATTTGGATAATTTCTCGATAATTTTCATGGGGGTGTTTCTCTCAAATGGTACTGCTATGTCAATAAGTATACACTGACTGAATCTTTTGTCTTTTTATGATAATATAAGGTCGGCTGACTTTTATTTCCATGTCAGATTGAATTGGCATGTCCCAGGGGATAGTTACATCGTTATTTTGTGTAACTGTGTCTGGTTGGTGCTCATACCATCTCTCAGTGGTTTCGATTTTGTGCTTCTTGCATATCTTCCAGTACACATATGTCGCTACCTTGTTATGTTTCTGGGTATTATTATTATTATTATTGTGTGTGTGTGAAGAAATACCATTATCTATTTCACCTGATCTCATTATTTTAGGTCTTACAGTCATAATCACACATTGAAACGCCGGTTCCCCATTAAAGCAACGTTCGAGCCTAGTCATCATCATCATCAGATGGGTTCATCACCATTGAGAATACCAAATACTGTTTGTGTATGTATGTATGTTTGGTGGTGTAATGATGATGGCTCGAAGTTTAAAGAATCGGAGAACCATCAGCATCAATTCCATGGGTTTGTTATATTCAATTATGCGCAAATACCCTTGGCAAAGACATGAATCCACCTTTTCTCCTCCCAGCTATGGGTTAATTAGTAAGACTTGTATCAATAAACCATTATTAGCTAAAAAAGTATAAATTCATACAATCTAAAAATATTTTTTGCTTTAAATAACCTGCAAAGGGTTGACAAGCCATAGAAAAAGAATGAATGACTTAATTAATCCTTATTTTATTAGGTGTATGTAAAAGTCCTTTTTTATTTAGATACTGAATCCGCAGATTAAAATCAGTTTTAAGTGTTATGTCTTCAGCGTTCATTTATCTTGTACTGAGAATAAAAAACGGAAAATGATAGCGGACAAGGTACACGGAAAACATTTTATGTTCTTTTTAAAATTGGTCGAGACAGAAGTAGATGTGAAGAAAATAATTATGGAGATGGTTCGGTTGGAAGAAGTTTAAGAAATTCGAATTCCACTTTCAGAACATGTGACACAATGAGCCCCAGCTTGATTGACTTAGAAAACCCACGAACTCACTTGAACTATAAACGATTTTATCTGTGCCTTAAGCGCCCTCAGGTTTTACGATCAGCCAACAGAAACACCGAGTTCTTCAACTCAAGCATCCGCTCTCCAGAAATCGGGAAAACTAGATGAACATATAAATACTCTCGGGATCAAGTGCCACTTGCCTGGAAGACTAGGAGTTTAAGAAATTCCGGTTGTGGAATTATATGTCACACTTAGAGTAAGCCAGATAGAAGACTTCTGTCGGCAGGGATAACAAAACCAGTTTTGATGTAGAGACAGGCAGACGGGCGGTAGGAGAGAGTTGATGGTCAAAGGTCACTCATGAGACGTCCGTCGAGATGTAAACAGGAGTAGCAGCGAAAATATCCCAAATGACCCCCCAAGACAATGCCAGGTGAATCCAGGAATAAAGAACTTTAATATATATATATATATATATTTATATATATATATATATATTCACTTAAATCATGATTTATCACTAATGTCATATGTCTGTGAAAGCGAATGAAGAATCATTAGAAGTAACCGGAAACCCAATCCTAAAAACGAAATAATAAACCTCGATTCCTGTTCAAAAATCGGAGAAGGAGTGTGAACTGGACGATAGGCGAACAGCAAAATCTGTGTTCTCTTTTTCTGTCTTGGCGATATTTCATTCATTTTCAGAGCCGTTTTCATTCACTCAACAGTTTTCATTCACTCAACAGATTTCATTCTCTCAGCCGTTTTCATTCACACAGTAGTTTTCATTGACTCAACCGTTTTCATTCACTAAAAGGTTTTATTCACTCAGCAGTTTTCATTCCCGCAACAGTTTTCATTGACTCAATAGTTTTAGGATGCTTGCAAAATATGAGGAAATTTGAAAAAGCAATCAACTGTGTTCTACGTGAATTGTCAAAGTAAAGAATTGGACATTTTCTCTTCTGCATTTCACTGCTTACAAGACGTAGAAAAATCTTTCTGTAGAAGATTGTCACTGGAGATGAAAAGTGGGTTCATTACGATAATACAAAGCGTTGAAAAATTTGGGTGGACCCAGGACAGCATCAAGAGCAAAACCTAACCTTTTGGGGGGAAAAGTTATTGCTCCGAATTTTGTGGGATATGAAAGGCGTAGGAATTACTGGAACCTGGTGAAACTCGTATTACAGAATGTTACAATCGTCACTTTGATGTTAGATCAAAACAAGCAAAGAAAAATACCATTTCAAGGACATGTTGGATTGGGTTGAGTTGTTGGGTCACTTAATGTCGAAATCATTTTTTTTTTTTTTTGAGGTTTATTGATCATATTTTCTGCTTTGTAATTATATTAAGTTGGGTCATAAGTAATTTTCGTTTTTGTGAACCAAATGTAATGACGGATGTATCATTCTAACGACTAATCATACCTACAATATATATAAATATATATTGTACGTATAATATATGATAGATAGATAGATAGATAGATAGATATAGATAGATAGATAGATAGATAGATATTTCAGACTGAGATATATAGATAGATAGATAAAACAGAAAAAAGATTGAACAAACTGACATAGATAGATAGATATGAACAGAATGAGAATAGATAGATAGATAGATAGATAGATAGATAGATAGATAGATAGATAGATATGAACAGAATGAGAATAGATAGATAGATAGATATGGACAAAATGAGATAGATAGATAGATAGATAGATAGATAGATAGATAGATAGATAGATAGATAGATATAAACAGACTGAGATATATAGATAGATAGATAAAGAGAGAAAGAGATATGAACAAACTGACATAGATAGATATGAACAGAATGAGAATAGATAGATAGATAGATATAGATAGATAGATAGATAGATATTTTCAGAATGAGAATAGATAGATAGATAGATTAATAATAGATAAATAGATAGATAGATTTAATTTTATAGAATGAGATCACTAGATAGATAGATAGATTTTTAGATAGATAGATAGATATGAATGTCGCCAATATGAAATAGATAGATATTCTGAACATTTGAAATATAGATATATATATGAACAATATATGAGATAGATATATATTTATAATATATTTATAGAGATAGAGAGAGAGAGAGATAGAGAAAGAGAGGGATGAATAGATTGAGGTAGAAAGATAGACATATAGATATGAGCAGTCTTAGATATTATATATCACTTTTGTCTATTTTTTTATAATATTGGTTTGGGGAATAAGCCGTGAGAGTTTTTTTGAAAGTAAAAAATCTTTGGGAAGCCAAACATTTTGGCGAACGTTTTAGAACAACAATTTCTTATTGTTTTGAAATTTACATATATATTTACATATATATTTGCATATATGTATGATTTTTGTTAATTTCATTATTTTTGGTTCAATTTCAGACTTCCAAAATGGAATGGCAAGTGAATAAAACTGCTCACTTTCGACATATTTTGCTTTTTGTTTTTGCATATAAACGAGGAGTTAATGTCGCCAAAACAACTCGTGAGGTTTGTGACATGTATGGAGATGGCAAAATGCCTCAAAGTACCGTACGACATTGGTTTTCGCGCTTCAGAAAAAAGAAATTTTGAAATGGAGGATCGCCCCGGTCGACCAGCTGAGTTTGGTGAGGAGCCATTAAAACAGTTTCTTCACGAAAATCCACGTCAGACGACCAGAGAATTAGCGGAACAGATGAATTGCGATGACAAAACTGTGTCTGTCTATATTTCTGAGAGGAGGTATTATATACATTATTTACATCATTCGGACTATTGTCCTCATCTTTGACGCCATATTTATTACGTTTAGGCCGTTGTACGCTCCAGCTTTCTTCAATTTAATTGAATGTCGAATATATATATATATATATATATATATATATATATATATATAGGCATTGCTAGTATGGTTGCCAGAAATGCTTACAATATAAATATGTGGCGTCTATTTCAAATACGAATATCCACTATAATAATGTCTAAAATAACAGATGTCTCGAATTAAAAACAAATCCTTGTTCGAATTATGAATATGACACTGAGCAGATATGGCTTTTCGAGAAAAAATATCTGAATGAAGAAGTGTGCTTTCCTAAACAGAAAAATAGGACCTTGCTGGACGCTCTCTGTAGCCAAGTGGTAAAGCAGGACGGATCAAACGTCTGTTTCTCATACAAAGGGGGACATAGTTTCGGTCCCTGTCAGAGAGAAAATTTTCTTTATTAAGATATTCCGAATGTCCACGGCGATAGATGTAACACACACCGCTTAAAGTAAAAATGCAAAATGATTATCCACTATTTGATGTAATAAAAATTTCGGATTAAAAATAATTCAACTAATTCTTTGTATATATATATACATATATATATATATATGTGTGTGTGTGTGTGTGTGTGTGTGTGTGTGTGTGTGTGTGTGTGTGTGTGTGTGAAATAAAATATTTTGAGGGTGTGCTATATTTATGGGATAAAGTGCTCAATATCAGAGATAGAGCTTATGTAAATATAAATATAAAAGTGAACATTGAAGTCAACACACAGAGGCGACAGGCTGTTTCATGCTGGACGCAATCGTCAGGCTGCGAATGCCGGATTTTTCCTCGACTATTTATATATGTAGGTCAGTGGTGCATTGTGGGTAATCTATTCTGGCGGTTATTTTTGCGGGAATGGCTAGTTTGCTTATTCATTTGTTTGGGTTAATTTATTTTACTTTTTTTCATTTTCATTTTGTATTATTTATTCTTTTCTTTTTTTGATGTTTTATTAAAGAAGTATAAAATTTTGCGGTGGATTTGCTTAGGTTGCTTATTTAATAGTTTGTTTTGGTCTGGGAAGATAATTAAAGCTATTTATTCGTCCAATGTTTAGTTTTTTTTATCGATATATAGCAGTTATAACTATTTTTACGTCCAACAAAAATATTCAATAAAAGCATTGTAAAAATCAGCTACAGTTGCACCGAGAACATGGCACAAATAATAAAATAGCACAACAGGAAAAGTATCAACAAACCACCCGAACAAATTAAACCCACGTGTAACTAAAGAATGAATGTCCCCTAAACCGTAATTGCTTACAAAACAATGTAATATACCAAGTCACTGTAAAATCACCAGATAATGAAGAAAAAGTATACATTGGAGTAACTGAAGGACCTTGGAAACAAAGAAACTATGCGCACAAAACATCTTTCACAAATAGTAAATACGCGAACAGTACAATGCTTTCCAAGTACATCTAGGAAATTAAAAGCAAAAAACAAACCAGACCAAAAATATCATGGAAAATAAGGAAAAGATCATCAGCCTACAACAATCAATCAAAAACCTGCAAACTCTGCTTGGAGGAAAAATAGCTATCATTACCTTCCCAGATCAAAATAAATTACTAAACGATCTAAGCTCATCTCAAAATGCAGACATGAAAACAAATTTTTGCTACGTTCCTTAAAAATCAAAAACTGAAATGAATAAATACAAATAAACAAAATAATTTAAAAAAAAAAACAAGTAAAATAAACTAACCCAAACAAATAATAAACAAATTAACAAACCACTCTCGTTAGAATAAATAGAATAAATAAAAACAAAAAATGAAATACATAAAAACAAGTGAAAACAATCAATCCAACTAAGTAAATAAAGTAAATAAGAATAAAAAAATTAACAAATCAAACCCACCTAAATAACCGTCAGAATAGACTACAAGAAACAATCCAATAATCGGACGTAAAAATAGTTATAACTGCTATATATCGATAAAAAACTATGTTACTCAAAAATCGAAAACCAAATAGAATAAATGAAAATATACAAAATAAAAAATAAATAAAAAACAAATAAAAATTAATCTAAATAAATGAACAAATTAACAAATCGCCCCCGCTAAAATAACCGTTAGAACTAATAAAAATAAGCATAAATAAGCAAAAGCAAGTAAAAATAATCAATCCAAATAAATAAATTAAAAACCGCCCACTCGCCAAAGTAACAGAATAGACTGCGGCAAGCAATCTAAACATTGGACAAAACAAGACCAAAAGTAAGGCTGGTTAGAAGCAACAAGAAAAGCAGAGGACAATTTCATCAGAGTCATCAGTTTGCGTGACAGAAAGCTGACTGCTCCAAACATCACTGCCCAACTGAACCAATGTCGTGAAAAAAATCTGTCAACATCCACTATGAGGAGAAGACTGTGAAGCTGGCCTATACGGAAGAATTGCTGTCAAGAAACCACTGTTGAGGAATCGAAACAATGTCAAAAAGGCTCCAGTGGACCAAGGCACACAAAGACTGAATAGAGCAGTATAATAAAGTCCTTTGGACTGACAAATCAAAGTTCTAAATCTTTTTGGTTAAATAGGAGGGTCCATGTGCGGCGAAGAGTTGGTGAAAGATCTGCAATACCCTGTATCACACCAACCATAAAGCATGGAGAATGTTCTGTTATGGGGATGGCTTTTGTCAATTGCAAAGTCGGGGATGTGCAAATTGAATCAGATTGTCTATCACAGCATACTGCAGCATCACGCGTCACATCTGGAACGCCTCTTGTGGCTTAAGGATTTGTACTCATGCAAGATAATGACCCAAAGCATACTAATAAACTCTGCCAGAGGAACATTAAAAGCAAAGAGGAACAGCATGTTCTTCAACTGATGTCTTGGCGAGTGCAATTAGCGGACAATTGAACTGGTGTGGGATGAACTTGACCAAAAAGCCATAGCTAAAGAACTCACAACCTGGGCAGAACTATCTTCAGTCTTTGATGGAATGAATGCAGAGAATTTGTGAATCAGTGACAGGGGGCTCATTTTGCTGAATCAAAGGTTTAATAAGTTTTTAGTGTTTTGGGGGTTAAATTTGTATTTAATATGATTGACGACGACTTATATTTAGTATAATAAATAAAACCATTATGGTAGTTAACTTGCTTCATTGAAAATAACACTTTTAAGATGAGAAATAACAATGTTTGAGGTAGGCCAAATACTTTTGGCTTGGTTATATATATATATATATATATATATATATATATATATATATATATATATATAATTATTTATTTAAAAATATGATCCTATCGCTACATAAGAATTCTCATGTTTCAAAACAAGAGCCGAAAATTTGAATTAAATTTAATTAAAGTACCAAGCTCTGTTCCATCTTCAAGCGAAATTTTTTTGGGGGGAATAACTAATTCTTGAAATTTACGCGTTTTATAAGCATATTCATTATTAAAATTAAAATTACTATGGTAACGGCTAGAGCAATTATTTTTTAAAAAAAAAATATTAAGGGTTAATAATTTGTATCAATAATTCAGTTACATTCAAAGAGGTCAAGTCAGGGTAAGGTTGGGGTGTCTAAATTCAAAGCGGAAGATGACATCGTCTAGTATGGTTAAGTGTCTATGAAGATTTTTATTTTATTTAATTTTTTTTTTCCTGAAAGGGTTTTGTGTAGATAAAAATCTATCATAATTCGCTAACATTTGTTTTTTTGACGATATATATATATATATATATATATATATATATATATATATATATATATATATATATATATATGCAGAAATATAGTTTTAAAGTGTGATATATTTATGGGATAAAGTGCTCAATATCAGAGATAGAGCGTATGTAAATATAAATATAAAAAATAAACATTGAATTCAACACTCAGAGGCGACAGGCTGTTTCATGTTTATGTCGCCTCTGAGTGTTGACTTTAATGTTCACTTTTATATGTATATTTATATGTATATATATACAGGGTGTTGCAGTAAAATCCGACCTTTGACAAAAAAAAAACGAAATAGGCAATAAAAACAAAAGTTGTAATTGCATATACCCAACAGTTTGACAACTAACATTTTTCTCTCTAGCCTTTTCCTGGATGGAATATGAGTGCAAATTAGCGGTTGTAGCTTCTTTTTGTGTCGGGAAGAAGCCTGCAGAAGTGTTGGTCTGGTTTGGGTTCAAGAGGACCATGGTCATGGATATTTGGATGAAGTGGAAGGCGTGTGAGGACGAAGGAAAGGCCCGCAACGTTTGTTCTCCAGCCGTTAAGACCGACGAGTTCGTCGCCGCCGTCAAGGAGACAGTCGACAATGATGGATTGGGCTACACCAAGATCGCTGCTGTCACAAGTAGACGATCTGCCGAACAATCAAGAAGGACATTGGTTACTCCTCCTCACCGCATGCACATCACGAATGCCTCCAAGGAGTCGAGGAAGGTCAAGACGGCGGCTTTGCTGAACGAGCTCAAGCACGGGTCCGCCGGGATGCCGAGGTTCTTCACTGATGAAAAGAATTTCATCCAGGACCAGACGAGCAACAGGCAGAACGACAGGTGGATCTTCAAAGATATCGAAGAGGTTCCCGTCATGAAGCATACGAAGTTTCCCTCCTCCGTCATAGTCCTTGGCGTCATCTCCAGAGGGAGACGTCATGCCTCCGTTCTTCTTTCAAAAGGGCCTGAGAGTCACTGCTGAGATCTACCAGGAGGTGCTGAGGAGCGTGGTGAAGCCCTGGACGGACGAGATCGCCACCGGAGGCCCCTATGTATTCCAGCAGGACTCCGCTCCTGCACACAAGGCCACGACGACACAGGCGTGGCTGCTTAAACAATGTTCCTCACCACTGGTCGCCGGACTTGTGGACGCCCTCCCCACCCCCGACTGCAACTCCCTTGACTATTTCTTCTGGGGCGTGATCGAGGCCAAGACCAACAAGTATGCCCACAACACAGTCGACTCTCTGAAGGCTTCCATCGTGGAGGCGTTCGCCGCTATGGACAAGGACATGGTTGCCATTTCGCGCCCGTCTTTAGATGGTCGTCGCAGCCGGCGGCGTTTACATTGAAGAATAATGTATCAAATATATATATATATATATATATGTAAATATGTTTTTATAATCTAGGGAAGATTACTGAATAGAATAATCAAACGATAATACTTAGGACACGAACAACACATATATGATTCGCCAGCAGCGCGTAGAAGTAGATATTCAAGCAGAGAAATTTTTAAAAAATAAAAGTTAGTCAAGTGAATTCCACAATGAATCTCAAACTGCAGGATATCAGAGGCAGAGAGTTTGACCAACACAGCTGGAGACTAATCTCCAACTGCTGGATATTTACCAACCGCCCCACGCGGTCAGATATGGCACAAGGTCGAATTTAACGTGGGGTACCCGAGCCCGTAAGCTCGGCCAGAAATTCCCCGTAGACTCCGTATAAAACGAGGTCGGGTAGCTGTTTCCTGAGACGAGACTCTGCCCTTCGACATAGCCTCGTCTGGGGACTCTCTCTGCCCAGAAGCAGAGAGATTGACCAACACAGCTGGAGACGAATCTCCAACTACAGACCAACATGCACTATTTATTACTGTATTTATGTGAAGTGGCTGAAGGTGTAAAGGGTAGAAAAGAATATGGGATTGTTAATTTTTAAGAGTCTAGTGCCAAGTGCTCTGGTAAATACTTTTTTGAATACTGGCATTTAATAACTCATTTGGCTTAGGCTATATTGTTATTTCTAGTTTCTCTTACACACAGAGATTACAGAATCTCCCACTGTTCGCATAAATGTCTGCTTTTTAACTATTTCGCACTTAATTGATGGGTATACACTATAGTCTTCTTTAATCACCGTCAAGTAACTTAATAGGCTTTATGCTGACTCTATGGCTTTCTGTGGTAACAAATATTTTATGGCTACAATTAAACTTTTATAAATTGTCTCTCAGTAGACCAAATATAAACCTTTTCTCGATCCTCTGTGGCCAAATCGGTTAAAGGCACGTTAGGCTATATAACGGTTCCGTATAGGATACAGGTTTGATTCCTGTCGGAGCACGCATATTTTCTATGAAAGTTTCTCGGACATTCAGACCGGTAAATGTTGTTAATACTGTTTATTATAAACAGAGCATTTACTTAAATATTTGTATCTATAAAAAGAATGTATAAACATAAAAATGTCTTAAAATAATTGTCGGACTTTGTCCATTTCATAATATAAGTCAAAACTTCATAAATGAAGTCAAAACTCAGACGCGACAAGCTGTTTCATGCTGGGCTCAATCGTCAGGCCGCTTGGCGATTCCGTCTAGCATGAAACAGCCTGTCGTCTTTGAGTGCTGACTTCAATGTTCACTTATATATATACATATATATATATGTGTGTGTGTGGATTAGATAGATAGATAGATAGATAGATAGATATAAAGGGCGTTCCAATAACTTGGACCGATTTTAAATTTGAATTAAGTTGAATTTTTTTCTTTTTCTTTCAGATTTGGTGGACATTTGGGCGATATTATTTTTCACACATAATCGCCATTTTTTCGCCATATCACTGATTTATTTACTGTTGACTTTGATCCGTCTTAATGAAACAAACTTATATATAATCCGTCTTAATGAAACACCTTTATATATAATCCGTCTTAATGAAGCACCCTTATATATAATCCGTCTTAATGAAACATTGCGTAAGGAGTAAATTGTTACAAAGACAAAACATTGACCTAAAACTCAACTCATATTCAGAAATTGCCTCATCAGATCGGCAGTTTCAAATGGATGCCATACATGGCACCAAACTCATTCGGCAATATTTAAACTGTCGACTGTGTACAACCACTTTCTCAGATCAATGATTTGAAATGGCTTCGCACAAATGCGGCAGATTTTAACTTGTAGACTGGCGCTACACAATCATAAACAAAAAAATTCACCAAATAACAGAATTCACATGATTTGAGGGGTTTTAGAAATCGCAACACCTAAAATGAATATCACATGCAACTAGAAGGGAAAATGATAACATAATCGAGATGCTGATGTTCCACACTACTTCAAACAAAAAGCTAGGAAGGAAAGAATGATAACAGTTAGTAAACTTTAGAAACTTATTTTCCTGAAAAATTATTTTCAGGAAAAGATTTTATAAATTTCAACCAAAAGTAGCACTGGCTACCAAATGTTTCCTTATAAGGAAACGGCGCATATTGTCATTACCACTCTGATTCAAGACTTGTTAGCCCCTGGTTGACCTTTACTACTAAGTAGTGTGTTCTACACAGAATTCGACATTAAATAAACCAACAAATCTTCACATTATTTACATTATTCGGACTATTGTCCTCATCTTTGTTGCCATATTTATCACAACGTTTCGGCCGTTGTACGCTCCGGCCTTCTTCAGGTGATTTGAATGTCGAACTGAACCCTTTATTTCGCTCGCTGGGGTGGACTCCTCTTGTTCCACGAAATTAGTGATTTTAAAACATTTTCATTTATAATGAGTTGAAAGTAACACAAAAACTTTGAGAATTTAAAAATTTTTGTTTTAAATTTAGTTTAAAATATCTCCAAACCTTTGTGAATTGAAGAAATCAATTTTATTTTTTTCAAAATACCAAAGAATCAGAGTTAAAATGAGAGGTTTCGTGACATGAGATTTCGAAGTTCCACGGTGTTTGTGATTTGAAAAACTCACTTCGGACTGAATTGGAATTTTGGTCCAAATCTGACAAGAGATACAAAGGATAGGAAGTTGTAGAGAGCCATAATCAACCTACCTAACAAGCTTGTGCAAATGGATCACAGAACAGGGAATGGGGAAGAATAGTAAGGGGACAACCATTGCTCGGAGATACAAAGGATAGGAAGTTGTGGAGAGCCATGATCAACTTACCTAATAATCTAGTCTAGTAAATGAATCGCAGAGCAGGGAATAGAAAATGTTAGTAAAAGGACAACCATTGCTAAGAGATACAAAGGACAAGATGTTGTGGAGAGCCTTGACCAACCTACCTAACAATCTTGTGTAAATGTATAGCGGAACAGGGAATGGAAAAATTTAGTAAGAACTCAACCATTGCTAAGAGAAAAACAAAGGATAAGAAGTTGTGGAGAGCCATGACCAACCTACCTAACAAGCTTGTGTCAATGGATATCAGAACAGGGAATGAAAAGGTTTAGTAAGAAGTCAACCATTGCTAAGAGATACAATGGATAGGAAGTTGTGGAGAGCCATATTTGTTTATGAATGATAATACTATCAGTAAATTTTGACATCGATGCATTAATCTTACCGTATTCCTATAGTGCAAGGTCAAAGAACGTATATATTAATTAATAACACAGGGATTATGATCTTTCTTCGTTTAACCGGCAGTCCATTATTCTATCTCCACCACACCAAATGCAATTAGTAATACTTTAAATAGGAACACATGTGCTATCATTTTGAGTCCGGTTTTTGATGGTCTGGGATAAATTCTCTCTTGCTCAAATTTCTCTTTGGATTTCCTCCAACTAATATAATGGAAACACAGGCTTATAATAGTAAACTTAGTTCATTCTGGATCAAGAATATGTGAGATTGGGGGTTGAAGATTACAAACACGCAAATTACCTACTTACTTTAAACATCAGGATTCTTTTGCTATCGAAAATAATACAAACAGACACCCACCGACAAGATTCGCTACCTCTTCGTCACAGAGGATCGTTGGAACAGTTGGCATGACGTCTGCCTGATAACGTAACTGTCCGGGTTTCAATTCTCGGTAGTGAGTCCCAAATATAGGCCGTCAAGTGCTTTCTGCATTCTTCTAGACTCGATGAATTACTTAATTATAATTATCTCAAATCCTCCCAATTTCTATCACTTGTATATCTTTGCTTGAACCGACTTCTAATGCTCTGGACTGAGCGTCTTGGGGATAGTAGTCCTATGGGTAAAAGACAAACTCAAATGAGTTCCACCACGAAATATGTGATCGAGCGACGCTATTTCGAGTCTAATTCGCTACCCCTTCGTCACCGAGGCCGGTTGGTATGACGTTTGCCTGATAATGTTTTTGTCCGGGTTTCAATTCTTGGTAGTGGATGCGCACTGCTGATGATTGACAAATATAGAACTAAACAGCCGTCCAGTGCATTCTGTTGAGGTTTCTTCTAGACTGGATG